GCTTACTCAGCTATTTTTGTATCAGTATCATATAACAATTAGCAATTGCTATAAAATCCGAACCCTGTTTTGTATCATTACTATTATGTATAAAGTATTTATTTATTTATTTTTTTTTTAATTGATAATAATTGCCTCGGCGACTGCACGGGCCATTAAATCGTACACATAATTAATTATTTATAGGGATACTTACATTGGTACACTAAGTAGAAACTTATAACTATGTACACTATAGAAAAGAGAATAAATAAATATATATATATATATAGGTATATTATATATTATACATAAAAAATTATATAAAACCCATTGTGTGTACATAATGTGGAGTGTGATGACGATTGACGACCACCATCAGCAAGAAAATTTCACATCGACCATAGTATTCCAAAATCAAAATCATATTATACGACAACAGACAACCTCGTGCATATAGAATTTAACTATTTAAGGGTATGGGTAGGTAAACTTCTGCGTTCTTAAAGACCGTGAAAAACCGTTTGGAGTTTATCGCACCTATAGCTGCATCGTCGTCCATCGTCGAGCGATTATAACAATATAATTATTATATAAACAACGTTGGTCTGACGGTCGTTTGATACAGATAATAATGTGTTACGAAAATCACTAATAAATTTTTGCTAAAAATCACGAACGCGTGCGTGCTGCAATATAGGCGTTATAATAATAATAATAATAATATTTAGTCAAGGCGACAGATGTAATAATAATAATAATATAATCGTTATTATTATTATTCGACAGAAACGCGATTGTTGTATTATATTAGACTGTATAGTGTGCCAGCCATAAAAATATAATAATACATAATATTACAGTACGTAACATATTTTAATACAATATTATACAGTCATGCAATTACAATAATATAGATAATATATCATTATTATTATCATTATGAGCGAACGACTAAAAAGAATTGCGTATTATGCTGCTACCGAGTTACGCGCATATATACCTATAAGTCTTACCCACGTCGAATAATTGGGACCCGAGACAGAAATCGTGCGTATATATTACAAATTTATTATTATTATTATGCGCGAGCTGKTATTATTATCGAATTGATATACTAAAGTAATATTATAWTCATTATTATTCGTCGCACGGTTGCCGTCGCGCGATTATAGTAGCWGCAGATATATTATTGATATTTTATATACGCACCTGTTGCGTCACCATAAGTTATATAGATAGATAATGTGCGCTTATATTGTAGGTATATWATTATGTGTGGTGAGCGATGTGATTTCTAAAATAAATAAATAAACGAATTCGGTCGCGTGCGGAAAACAATTGCGACGATATTATATTATTAAAATTGACAGACTCTCGAAAATATACGCTGAATCCTAAGCCTAAAAGAGTGTTTTATACTATTTTATACCTATAATAATTGTATATTAAAAATAAATAATCGAATAATGAAATAAAAAAAGTTTACTTCTATCAGTTTAAGCATTATAATATGCTTAATCGTCGTCATAATATTATATRGTCACACTTTGAGACATTAAAAATAGTATTTATTTAATAAAACATA